GGAGAGAAGGAGCTCCGAGGCAGTGAGGAAGTAGCGCAGCATTGGGAGCAGCGCCAGCCATCGGCCTACCCCACGGCCCAGCGCCAGCCCTTTCAGCACCATAACTGTCGTGACAGGTACCAGGGAGAAAGTCTTTGCCTTCTCTCCCTCATCTCCCTCCTCCTCTCTCTCTCTCTCTCCTCCTACCTTCTCAGTCTAAGTCTACTCCTGGGTTCTCCTACGGAACTACTACCAGCATGAAGGAGGGTTACGAATTCTGATGACATTGGAGACAACGACATTGGGACTATAGGTTGAGGACTACTCGTGGGATCCGATTTCATCTTCCTCTGGAGATGTACTTGACATTGTGAGGTCGATATATGAGACCTTGTCAGACATTGTGTTCGCGACATTTCAGATTTTCGTTACCTCTGACATTTCAAGATACTATCTTTGGAAACGTCGAGTTGACGTCATCTTCCCTCTCCTCCTCCCTTCGTCTCTCTCCTCCCTCCATTTGTTCGTGGATGATATCAGACCCTGGCCTTTCGTCTATGTCCAAGGCCAGGGCTTTCACACCCTTGATGTATGATTGAGAGTGTTCGATTGCAGTCTAAGTCAGGTCCGAGTCAGTCCATGTATCTCAAGTCTTCCGCTGTATTTGTATTAACTTTGTATTATCTGGTCGGTTCTGGGAATCTGCTCCATACTTATGACTGTGTTTCATGAGTATGCAATAGAGAGAGAGAGAGAGAGAGAGAGAGAGAGAGAGAGAGAGAGAGGCAGCAAAGCCACCATCGCCATCCCTCCTCCCTCGGTCCATCCTCCATTCTTGCCTCGACCCTCTCTCCTCCCTCCCTCACCCTGCTCCATCGGCCCTCCCTCCTTCCTGCTTCCCTCACTCGCTTTCTTCCTCCTTCCTCCGGTGGCGTTACCTTCCTCGGCGCTCCGTCCTCCCTCTCTTCTTGCTCCCTTATCTGGGGGCGATATAGAGAGTGCATTCCGTTTTTCTTATCTTTCTCCATTTGCGTTAAGGCTTAGTGCCACGTTGTTTTTTTCCAATGTGAATAAGGGCGAGCATCTACTCTTGCGCGTGCGGTCGCTCACAGATGTACACAGGGAGGGGTGTGTGTGTGTGTGTGGAGAGAGAGAGAGAGAGAGAGAGAGAGAGAGAGAGAGCTGACTCAGTGTGGTGGGACTGGGGAGGAAGAGAGTGAAATATGGAAAGAAATATCGATAGCCTGAAATACSTGGCGCAGGGCAGTYAATCATAAGGCCGTTCCAAAGAGAAAAGACCGAGGGAGAATGTTGAGGAGGAAGATCTTGAGGAGGCAGAAGACGTACGTTTTGTGGTGGAGGAGACATACAAAGTGGGAGGAAGGAAGAGCAAGAGGAGGAAGTGTGTTAGGTGAAATGCGTTTTTTCTCTCCTGCTTTCCCTGTCTCCTTCTTGCGCGTGTGCAACCATGCTAAGATCTTAAAAGAAATGGAGCGATCTTGATAACAAATGGAGTGTTTACGTCCACCGGATAAAGAAAAAGCAGCACTTCTTAGGTCGGGCGTTACGAAGGAAGGGCGGCCAATCGAGGGAGGAAGGGGGAGGTAGGGAGTAGGACGGAGGGAGGAATGGAAGGAGGTCAGGTGGTGATCGCGTTGAGGAAGGAAGGGGAGGAAGGAGGTCAGACAAAGATCGGGCGGACGAAGGGGGCGAACGAAGGGGGCGAACGAAGGGGAACGGGGCGGCCACGTGGACGGAGGCCAGTGGGAGGTTGAAGAGAAGGTGCGGAGGAGGCCAATAGGCAGGGGAGAGGCAGCAGAGAGTAGGGCGGAAGCAGGAGGTGGAGATCGGGCCAAGGAAGGAAGGGGAGGAAGGAGATTGGGGAAAGGAGGAGGTCAGTGCAAATCGGGCGGAGAGGACGGAGGAGATCGAGGGAAGGAGGTCAGGCGGAGATTGGGCGAAGGAAGGGGAGTGAGGTGGCCAGGCGAAGGGAGGGCAGAGGGAGGTTTTAAGAGAAGGTCCAAAGGAGGCCGGGAGAAAAGGGAGGCGGCAGGGAGAAGTATGGCGGAGGGAGGAAAGAAAGCAGAAGGTAGTTTAGAGGTTGTGTGACGTGTGAAGGAAGGGAAGAAGTAAGGGGGAGACGAGCATGAGAAAAAGCGTGAAGAGGAAGAGGAGGAGGTGGAAGGAGGCCGGGAGGAAGGGGAAAGACGGCAAGGTGAAGTCGGGC